ATAGTTCTGTAGATTTTCTGGAGAAGTATTTTATTGATTTATATTTTTAAATTTATGACTAATGGATCTTGAATGTAATTTTGAATATGGTATAAAATAGGTTTTTAACTTTATTTTCTTCCAAATATACCTTTGTGCACTTGCAATTTTCGCCAACAAAGAGATAATGACAAGTCTCAAGGAATGACTGTTCTCTTTAGATGGATGTCTTCAAATTATTACATTTCTAATGCAGTTATAAAGCTTCTAACGGGTATATTTATAAGGATGGATTTACATTAAAAGTGTTGCCAGTTTACTTTCCATGTTCTCAGTAATTGATGTCTTGCAAAAATACATTTGTGTTAAAAAAAATCTTTTGTTATTTTTTGCCACTAATTAATGCACTTCATTTTGAGCCGCATTGTTTGTTTAATTGATTTATTTAATGCAGAACTATTTTATGTTCTGTGGGAGAGATATCACCTGTAAGCTTGTAAGTCTTATGTGCAAAACATGAATAATACAGCTTTCAGGAATTACGTACTTAAATTCCTTCTGTTAAGTGTCCCTTAATTGAAAGAGAATTGAAGAACAGTTTTGTCATTGTGATTTGAAAGCTCAAATTTTCTTGTAATTTCATAGAAATTCTGTTCATTCATTATTCTTATTTTGAAATTTGTAAGTAGTAATTGTTTTTCACATTTTCTATGTTTTATTTTATGAACTAGGACTTATAAAAATATTTAAATATGAAGGAGTTAGTACTATTTTATCACAACAGATACACCAGGTTCATTTTGTTGTTTCATATTTTTATGTTTTAGGCACCTCATAAACATTTTTAAAATTCTGATTGTATGTTTTTAAGTATTCTAATACTTACTGTGCTCAATTGCCTGTTTTGCTATTTGACAGCTTTAATGGATAGGTTTTACCATTGTTACAGCTTTTAAATTGTATTTTAAAAATCTGCAGGTAAGAACAATATTGTATTTGAAAATTAATAGCCTGTTTACTTTCCTTCTTGGATTGAAATGTCCAAATCAACTACTAAATATTTTAAAAATGAGACTTCAGTTAAATGTTTCCATCTTCAATTCTCCTATACTGTATTACTTTTTCTTCTCTTTTCTGTATGTCGGGCTCATTTGTAGTGTTTTCATTTTTGGAAGTGTTGTGGCATCTCTGTCATTTTCACTTGTGTTACATTAATGACTACATCATCTTCTCATTCTCCCAGTTCTTTCTTGTATCGATTAGTATTTAATTCTCTCTCACTTTCGCCATTTTTTGTTAGAAGTGATGGAAAGTGACTCTCCCCTCCCCTTCTCCTTGTCTCTTTAAAAATAGATAGGCCATCGTTGCTTCTCTGGAGAATTTTATCAGGCATAAGTTTAGAAATAAGGATAGCTTGTCCTCTGCTTGCATTTTGGTCTTTTAGAGTAAGGTCACCTGGCTGACAGCATTGGTTTCCTAGGAAAGCTTTTTCCCAGGATTTTAAAATCACCGAAATAGGTTTCAATTGATACTTAGTTTGTTGCTCCCCTTGAAATCATTCCAGTTGATTTTATAGTGACTTTACTGATTGAGGTCTAAGAGGATACTCTTGCAGGAAATACCAGAAATAGTCCAGATTCTGGATTATTAGAATCCTATGTTTCTAAAAATGTTTATATTATTAACAGAAATTTATACTGATATTTAAGTATGGGTGGATAGTTTCAATAGGGTATCACCTCTAGCTGAATCTAAATTCAGTACCTAAATACAGTACCTAAATTCTACAAAATGAGTTTAGTGATTGTTTTCAGATAAGCTGAATTTTAAGTGTCTTGACAATCTCCCTTTTTTTCCTCCTTCTCTCTCATCTTTGTTTCTTTCTAACTAAAAATAAAACAGTATGAAAACATGAGCTAAAGTTTTAGGGGAACTTATTGCCAGTTCTAACTTTCCAAAACTTTTTATGTATCCATTTTTACCTGCATATATACATAAATTCAGTGCTTAAACTAGTATTTTCTTCTTTTTTAAAGATTTACCCACTTGTGCATACAGAACTGGGGTACAGGCCAGAGATGCATGGGTGGCAAGAGGATTCACCAGAGACAGAATGGGGAGCAGAACAGGCAGATATGTGAAGTACACTGCTGAGGGGAGCAGTGGGTGGTCAGAAGAGGTCTGCCGCGCCATGTGGATCACCTCTGGGGTGGGGATCGAACTAAGAAGCTTTAGCTTCCTAGCGCTGTGCTCCAACCCGCTGCTCCACCAGGGAGAGCCCTTAAACTAATATTTTATGTGATTAAAATTATAGCAAATATTTATGAAAGTTAACATTAGAAAAAATAAATCCTGGTACTTAAGAAAAATACACTGTGGGAGAAGGAAGGACAAGATGAATGCCAGAATTTTTTTTTTTAAAGATTTATTTATTTATTCATACAGAACTGGGGTACAGGCCAGAGATGCGGAGGGTGAGAGGATTCACCAGGGACAGAGTGGGGAGCTGAACAGGCAGATCAACAAAGTACACTGCTGAGGGGAGCAGCGGGCAGGTCAGGAGAGGTCTGCCACGCCATGTTGTCACCTCCGGGGCAGGGGGGGATCGAACTCATGCGAAAGTGGCTTAAGCTTCTTAGTGCTGTGCTTTAATCTGCTCTGCCACCAGGAAGGGCCGAATGCCAGAAATTTTAACCCTCTCATGTTTTGTCTAATTTCAAAAATAAGGTTCAAATTACTTTAAAGCTATGTATTCTATGATAGCTAAATCTTTTTTTTTTTTAAGATTTATTAATTTATGTATACAGAACTGGGATATAAGCCAGAGGTACAGGGGTGGTGAGAGGATTCACCAGAGACAGAGTGGGGAGCAGAAAAGGCAGATCTACAAGTACACTGCTGAGGGCAGCAGTGGGTGGGACAGGAGAAGTCTGTTGCATCATGTGGGTCACCTCCCTAGCCGGGGATTGAACTGGGGATAGAACTTGTGCTGAAGAGACTGCAGCTAGCTTCTTAGTGCTGTGCTTTAACCCACTGTGCCACCTGTGATAGCTAAAACTTAGAACTTGTTTAAAAATATCAAATATGCTTTTGCCTTGGTTATTGTATATTAAAATAAGAATGGGATTTAGATACGAAATCATGTTTGAGTTTCTTTTCCATCACTTGATACATGACCAGGAAAGTACTCTTCACCTTTTTGAGCCTCAATAGGGATAAAATGCATTAAATTGCAACATTACTTTGAGGATTTAAAAAAAAAAGTGATGTTGTATTCACATACCATGCAGATATTTGTAATTACATAGAATTATGGATAACATGTAGAGCGAATTGTGTCTTTACCATTAGTGTGAGGACTATTCTTTTGTGAATTTTACTGGTTTGGATAGGTGGCATATGAATTCCAGAACCTACTGAGGAAGCTGGGCTTTTCCAAAAATGCGTATTCAAAATTACTCACTGATGAGCGACAGAACAGTGCAGTTGTATTTTAATTTCTATTTAACAGATCACACCATGACTACTTACTAGCATGCTGACTCTTTTGAGCTGAGCCGCATGTAAACATTCCTTTTCATGAGATACACATTATCACCATAACATTACATTTTGTTTCTGGTTATAAAAATAACACTTGAAAAAAGAAAGTATGTAAAGGGCCCTCCCTGGTGGTACAGTGGTTTAAAGTGCACAGCACTGTGAAGCTCTCCATAGCCACTGCAGCATGAGTTCAGTTTCTGGCCAGGGGGCTGACCCACATGGTGAGGCAGATCTCTCCGGACCTGTCCACTGCTCCTTTCAGCAATGTATTTTGGTCAGTCTGCCCTGTACTGCTCCCCACTCTTGTCTCTGGTGAAACTTCTCACCCTGTTGCTCCCTCACCCCATGCACCTCTGGCCTGTACCTCAGTTCTTGTAGGCATATAAATAAATATTTTTTTTTTAAATCAGAATGAATATAATCTTCTTGAGGCTTTTTGTGGTTGGTGGAGTAGAAGATACACATTTGGAAAACTTAAACATACAAACATGATATTTTTTGTCAGTACAATGGTAATACCTTAGTGTGTCTGAGGAAAAACAGCAGGGGCAGCTTTCTAATCTTTATTTCCATATGGGTTAAAAGTGAAAGGACCGACAAGCTTTGGCTGCATGTTTCTGATCTAAGACGATTCAGAGATATTGATACAGCCCAAATAAGGACACAAGTAGGATAATGGGGAGTGATATGATAGATTAAGTTAGGTATAAGACGAGCAGTTAATTCTTAGGTAGGAAACAGGAAGGTTATCCTCTAAAGAAAGGACAACCTAGGTGCTGCGGGACAAACAGAAGTTCATCAAGAGGGAATCTGACAATTTGTAGGGGTTTTCCAAGAGGTGTCACAGGACCTAGCAGAGATGCTTCCCTGGATGCTTTGGAAGCAGAAGGGGGGCCTCCTGAAAGCCCTTTCCCTTCAACAGAGAAGCTCTGCTGAATTTCCATTATAAATGGTGGCGTTGACAAGATATTTCCACAAAAGGATTCTTTTATCTTTAAGAAGTTTGAAAGTCACTGAACTAGATGAAGCATGCCTGCTATTCAAGGCAACTCTAAGTCAGAAACCCTTTCCACATATGTAGAATCGGCATGGGGGTTAACAGTATTCACATCTCAGCTAGATGAGGGTTGAACAAGCTATGACATGTAGTGTAGGACCTAAAACATAAGAATTGAAGGATGTGGTAGCTCTTTTCATTCCCCACAATATATCCCTCCCAAATAAGGCTGCATTTAATATGACTTTTAAACTTGGTATAGGAAATATTGAACTGAAAAAGTGGTATCATCCACTGCTTTACACTCAAAACACAGTAAAAATGTCTTAGACATTAACTCTGGTCTTTAATACATTTCATTTTTATTTTTTATATATTGTATTTCCCTCCCACAACTGGAAGTTTTCTTTTTCTACTTCAGATTTCTTAAATAATTCCGGTCAGATACAGTTATGATATTTAGCACAATCATGTGTTTCAGGCTTACCAGCACATGGGAAGGTGACATCAGTGTTCACTGTCTAACCCTGCCCTCTGCCACCTGCCTGGAGCTATTGTTGATCTTATCCATGAATAACGCCACTCTGCCTCCATCCCTTCGCTATATGAATTCCTTTCAGGTAAGGAACAACTCCTTTACTAGAGTGTGATTGTAGCCGTGTTTTAAGGATTCTGACTTTTACAAGAGATAGCCCATGGAAACCGAGAGCTTCAGAGGATAATGATAATAGTCACTTGTGTTGTCTTGTCTGAGCTCTTTTAAGAAATGAACAAATGAAGGCTCAAAACTAATCAGGTAGCTGCGTAAACGTGGAAGAACCCATTCTCTCTAACTCCAGGGTTTATTCTCTTGATCTCCATCTTTTCCTGCCAAGAGACATGGTAAGAATATCTGGCCAAGAAGATGATGATTGTCTCTTTCTCTTTCCCAGATTTACCCTAAAACAAGGATTTTCAACTATTTCTAGCAACAGTAGCAGCAGTTTTGTTACTGTTAGTTTGCAGTCAGATAACCAAATGGATGTTTGACAGCAATGGATCCTCTCTATGCTCGGCACCTTTCCATTTCCTCCCTAGTCCCTCTCTCATCATTTCCCCATTATTCTGTGCTCCCGAGAAAGGATACAATAAGAACAGAAAAGCACCTCTACCTGGTAGGCTGACCATTGTCAGTGATGCTGCATATGATAATTAAGCTCTGACCTGATGGCCTCTGAATGTAATTGAACAATCTGTGTGATTCTTAGCAATGGGAAGACATTCAAGAACCCTCAAAGGCAGGTGACAAGGCCACATATATTTGCTGAGAAATGAGTAAACACGGTTGCTTCTACTTCTGAAGTTTTGTGATAGATGTTACAATACCTTCTGGATCAGTATCTGTTGCTCAGTTCACCTCTGTTATGTAAGTACAAGATGCAGATTTTCCTGGGATCACAACTCAGAGAACTGAGAAAATAACTGCTCCAATCTAAATTGCCTCCATGTTCTCCTGGTCATCTGTCACATTGGTTGTCCCTGTGATTTTCTTCTTTTTTTTTTTTTTTTAAAGATTTATTTATTTGTGCATACAGAACTGGGGTACAGGCCAGAGGCTCAGGGGCGGTGAGAGGCTTCACCAGCGACAGAGTGGGGAGCAGAACAGGCAGATCGACGAAGTACACTGCTGAGGGGAGCAGCGGGCGGGTCAGGAGAGGTCTGCCACGCCATGTGGTCACCTCCAGGGCAGGTGGGAATCGAACTCATGCGGAAGCGGCTTTAGATTCTCAGTGCTGTGCTTTAACCTGCTGCGCCACCAGGGAGGGCCTGATTTTCTTCTTAATGGAATTCCCAGATTTTGGCCTTGTTCTCCCTGACTCTACTAGCAACTTCAGTTCCAGACTTTAAAGAGATATTAGAGAAAACTGTCTCCTTGCTGTAGGAGACAAAGTGGAGATCTAGAGAATCAGAGGGATGTAGCCAGGGAACATTAGCATGTTAGGAACAGAACTCGTCGGGCTCAAGTGCCAATCTGTGCCCATCTGCACCCAGATGATCCCTCTCTAAAGTCCCAGAAGGTAGAGGGAATATGACAGCAGGTGGAAGTAGACACTATCTCCTTGGACATCCACATACCTATTATTTTATAGTAATCTATCATTATTTATTTGTACATGGCCCTAAACCAGAAATGATGTAAAATTCTCTATATCAATCCATATATCTTAAGTTTTGCTCACTGGATTGAACACTGAAAAGTTTTTATAAATCATAAACTTTTAATGAGGGGAAATACAGTAGTTATCTCTGAGAGCAAGACTAGAAAAGTTATTTTTTATTTCACTTCCTCCAGTGCTGTTTGAAATTTTTATATAATGGGTGAGTGGGGAGCATGGGAGATGACTCGACTTCGAGAATTTTCTAACATGTTAAGGGAAATAGAACAATCGTCCGTGTGGTATAAATTGACAATTTCATCACAAGGTACACTTACCTCAAGTCTTAAAGAATTACAGGTAAAAATAATCTAAACTGAATGTGGTCTATTGGAAAGACCAGTATGTATTTCTTCTCTATGAGAGAGATGAGTGTGTTTTCTTCAAGGCTCTCAACTCTGGCTCATGTAAACCTGTGGATGTAAGCACCTGGCCAGCCTTGGCATCCGTGTTCTCTCAGCACCGTTAATGCAGAGCTCTTGGATGCTAATTTTCGAACGTCCTTCTCTATCAGTAATTGTACTTCATCTTGCTCAGTCCATTTGCTGAATCTTTTTGTCACAGGCACATACGTTTTCCCAGGTTCAAAGGCACGGAAAAAGTTGGCACAGTTCGTGAATAACATCTGCTAGCGAGATTTTGTCCCTGCTGTTACCCCAGGAAGATGCATTCTTATCAGGAACATGCCAGGAACTTCCTGATACAGGGCTTCATTCGATAAGGATCAGTGAAGGAGAGGGTGTCTGTCAGAATTAGAAAGAGATACTATGCTTTTTCATCTTGATAACCCCTATTTAATCAATTATTACAATGGCGAGGAATGGGCTGCTAATTTTTGCCTATAGTGGGGATTAATTTTCTTCAATTGAAAACTCACTGTAATGCTTAAAAAAAAAAGCTATTTTGGCAAGAGTTTTAAACTAGTAAAATGACACTTGATAAAGATACCATCTTTTCATTTCCAGTTCTCTTGCTTTCCAGGCGGAGTCAGTAGCTGGGAGCAATGCTACTTTTTCTATAAAATGTTATTTTAGGTTCCTTAGGATAATGACTCTCCTGTTTGAGCTACTCTCACTGCCAAATCCCAAAAGGAAGGCTTTATCTTATTAATTAGTGCTATTAACATATGTGAAACTGTAACCTCTTAAATTATAGTATGACATTTCTCTCAGACCTATAGGGATATCTTTCGGTGATTTTGTTACAATTTTAACTTCCATCCTGTTATAGTATGTTAATATCCCTAGTGTGATGCTGAGCAAACAGAATGTGGGATTTGGTTGGACGTCAATGATGTATTGCTAAGCTCTTACTGTAGCTGCTGACAAAGCTCAAGAAGAAAGGACTTAGCATGTCATATTCCCTGCTTAAAATTCTTCCATGACTTCAGTAGAAATGAAAATAAAGCCCAATAATCTTTCTATGGCTGACAACACCAAGCCCTTCCTCCCTTTCAGGCTTCATCTCCTCTTTCCTTCTCACTCTGTTCAAGCCACACTGACCTCTGTTTCCTACTTCTTATCACAGTAAGCTGGTTCTGGCTGTGGTCTCTGCACTGTCTCCTCTCCCTGCCATCAGAACACTCTGGACCAGACCCTCTGTGTACAGTGACTGGCCCTTCTTGTCTTTCAGGTTTGAGGCCAGGTGTCCCCTCCCCCATAAGTCCTAACCTGACCCCCTTCACGGCGTTTCCCTCTTCTCATCACTGTTATTTTATAACCACCGTGTTTTACTTTATTTCATTTATTGTGCATTTACCATTGCATTCACTATGATTTGTCTCTCTTTTTAAGTTTGTTTATTGTTAACTGAGGTAACATTGATGTATCCTCATGAGGAATTATCACCACATTACATTCACCACCAACTCATCCATAGCGACCACAGACTATTAAGCTACATTCTCTCCCTGTTCCTCCTCTAGCTGCCCTCCTCCCTCCTTGACATCTTAGTTCTGTAGTCAGCTGTTAAGCATTAGTTTTTCAGCTTGTCTTATCTATTAATTTAGTTACTTTATATTCCACATATTAGTGACACCATCTGTTATTTATCTTTCTCCTTCTGACTTACTTCGCTTAGCATTATCCTTTCAAGCTCCATGCATGCTGTCACAAATGGCATCTTCCACCTTTTTTGATTGCTAGTGGTATTCCATTGTGATATATACCGCATCTTCTTGATCCATTCTTCTGTTATAGGTACCTAGGTTATTTCCATAGCTTAGCTCACAATGAATAATGCCACAATAAACATGGGGCCTCATTCTATTTTTTGTAGAACTTCTGACTATTTAAAATTGTGGTATTCATGTATTTGCCTTTTTCCCCTCTACGAACATGTTAAAGGAGGATATTTGTTTTTGTTCAATGTTGTACCAATTTTAACTTAAAATAGTGGTTAGATATAGGAAATATCTAATATCAGATGGATGGTTTAGATGGCTGAATGGATGTATAGTAAAATCCTGGTATGCCATTTAATGTTCCAGAAATCCAAATGACTGAGCTGGGAGAAGACAGAGTTTAAGAAACACATACTTAGGGGCAGAAATAACAGCATTTTTCCTTGCTGAGACTGGGTAAGCTCAATAGGTAAGGTCCAGATTGGAAACGTGCCAACAGGTTTGCGTACAGATAGGTATCTGCATTGAAACTACAGACTGGAGTTCTGTACTTGTGAGAAAAACTCAAAAAAAGGCCAGCCCTTGTAAGACTTAGGATAAACAGGCTGTAAGACTTAGGATAAACAGGCTGATAAGACGAGGCTCAGGGAACTGAAGATCATTGCATTAGAAATAGGTTTGGCTCCCAAGATCTGCTGCCAGAAATGGAGACAGGGTCTTGATGGCTCCTATGGGTTTTTGGGATTGGGACAGGCTGCACACCCACCATTCTTAACCACTAGCAAATAAAGTTTTAAAAATAAGTTTTGCATATCATTTTAGGCAAGATAGTGTTTTTTATTACATCGATTGTCCCCATTCTTGAGCATGAGATGTCATCTTTCTATCTCCTTAAGTCATTATCTAAGTCTTTTTTTTTTTTTTTTTAAAGATTTATTTATTTATTCATACAGAACTGGGGTACAGGCCAGAGATGCGGAGGGTGAGAGGATTCACCAGAGACAGAGTGGGGAGCAGAACAGGCAGATCGACGAAGTACATTGCTGAGGGGAGCAGCGGGCGGGTCAGGAGAGGTCTGCCATGCCATGTGGTCACCTCCGGGGCAGGCGGGAATCGAACTCATGCGGAAGCGGCTTTAGATTCTCAGTGCTGTGCTTTAACCCGCTGCGCCACCAGGGAGGGCCATTATCTAAGTCTTTTAATAACTTCTTGTAGTTCTTGTTGTATAGGTCTTTTACTTTTTGTTAGTGGTTCATTGTGAAGAGGATATTTCTTCTAATAGTGACTGGATAGTTCTTCTGCT